TGTCCAGAGGCGCTGGGGGTGTTCAGAGGCATTGAGGGGTGTCCAGAGGCACAGGGGGTGTCCAGAGGCATTGGGGGGTGTCCAGAGGCACTGGTGGGGGCTGTCCAGAGGCGCTGGGGGGATCCAGAGGCGTCGGGGGGATCCAGAGGCGCTGGGGGTGTCCAGAGGCACAGGGGGTGTCCAGAGGCACAGGGAGTAGAGAGCCTTTTCTCCTGTCCAGGCTGGGGCCTCCGACGTCCCAGGGCCCTGGCAGGTGACACGGGCCCAGCCCCGCCCACTGCCAGGCCGCGGCTCGCCAGGCCTCAGACCGCCCGTCTCCCCGCAGGCAGACGCCAAGATGGTGTGCGACGTGGTGAGCCGCATGGAAGACACGGAGCCCTTCTCCGCGGAGCTGCTGTCGGCCATGACGCGACTCTGGGGCGACGCGGGCATCCAGGAATGCTTCAACCGGTCTCGGGAGTATCAGCTCAACGACTCTGCCAAATAGTGAGTGTCCGGGCAGGAGGGGCCCACAGCCGGCGCGGGGCGGGGTCCTGCCACGGGAAGGACGGAACGGGAGATGGCCACCGCAGGCCCGGAGCCTCGCCCGCCCGCCCAGGCTCCCGCTGGGGCGGCTCCGCCCCGAGAACCCCGCCCCGCACATCCCATCTTACCGGCAGAAAATCACTGACAGAGAGATGAATGAGCTGTCCAGTCCTCTCCCTGTAAAGTTAAAAATAAGGACAGTGCAATCACCCAATAAATAGATCATGCACCCTTCATTACTGTGACCACTAAACAAGGGGACAGAAGAGGGGGGTGACGAGGGGGAGGGGCGGGCCTGAGGCAGTGGGCAGCCAGAGGGGACCCCTCGGCCCTGCTCTGCCGGCTGGGAAGGGCCTCTCAGCCCTGGGTGGGAGAGCCGCGCCCGGCCCGGTCCGCGTTGCACATTGGAGCCAGCGGGGCTGCACCCTAGCTTTTGGGTGCCCCCCACCGGTGCAATCTTGTACTTCTGGGCTCACACCCACCTCCCAGGACCGCGTGTGCTCCGCCCCTCTGCGCCCCCGCGGACGCGCTCCTCACCGCCTTGACCCTGCCCCGTCTGCCGAGTCTGCAGATGTTTCCGATGGCGGTGATAAGGGGGTGCTGGGGCCCCCGGCGGGCAGAGGCCAGGGGCGCTGCTTCACGCCCTCCAGGGCCCAGGGCAGCCCCCAGCAGAGACCCCTAAGATCCCTGGGCTACCCGGTGCGGAAGAAAGAGCGCCGGGGCCGCGGAAAGGGCATCGGGGAGCGGGCGCTGGGCCACCCTGTGCTCTCAGCCAGCAACCAGGGACGCGAGGGGCTTCCTGTTCTGCGCCCTGGCTCTGGCCAAGCCCAGGCCCTGCGGGCACCCCCTCCACCCTGAGGAGCCCCCGGGACACCTTGGTGGGCAGGGGTGTGGGCCAGAGCTTCCAGCCAC